AAAATTATGAAATAAAAGTGTCAAGATGGAAAGACATTTTAAAAGTACATTGATCTTAGTACAAGCAATTTTAACACACTTAAAGTGATATCAAATAGTGTTTGGATCTTCCACTGATGGAATAGCTAGGATTTCTACCTGAGTTCTTGTTATGGTAGTACAATTTGCACTGTGAAAACTTATATTTTCCAGGACGTTGTCCCTAATAGCCCTCTCCAATAGACAGGTAGCGCCTCTTCTTAGAGCATTGGCAGTGGCGAGGCAAATGCCTGCCACGCCATGCCACACCACCAATTTACCCATTTTGCCATGCGTGGCTTGTGTATTCTTCCATGCAAGGCATGGCTTGGGCGAGCCATTCTTCTCTTTTGTTTTCTTATTTTTTTTATTTTTTTATTTTTTTATTTGTAGAAAAAAAGGTTTTTTTAAAAAAAATGAAGTGCATATATTTTTATGAAAAAAAGATAAGTAAAAAAAATTTTATAATTAAAATATGTCACAAAAGTGTAAACAACAATTACTTGCCACTGCATGACATGCCACTCCACTCACTTGCCACACGCTGACTGGACTCTTTTTGATTGGTTGGAATGTTCCACGTCACCGTGTGGCATCCATTTTTTGACTTGCCATTGCCAATGCTCTTAGGCCTTCTGGGACGGTGTTTGTCAGAAGGTGGCAAATTATTGACAAAGTCTGTTGAGGAACATCCAATGAAGACACATCGCCAATTGGGTGGATTATACCAGCATATGAAGACACGATAAATTATATCCAATGAAGACACATCGCCAATTTGTAGAAAGGAGGGATAAAATCATAACAAGATAAGTCAGAACGTCTCCCAATAGCAGCCACCGCATGAACACAAACAAATTGATCAAGTTGGAATTCACAATATGTGCATGTTTTGTCCTTTAAGTTGACCACATAAGAGCCTGAATGTAAATCAATAACTTCAAACTTATATGGACATGGTGGCTTTAACTATATAACAAAAAAATAAAATATTCAGTGGTTAATATGCAGTTAAAAAATTCATGATAGTTCAACAAAGTATGTAATGTGGGTATTACCAGTTTCATAATATGTAATGTGGTGATGAATATTACGAACCATTGTAATGTAAAGTGTCACAGTATGTAATGTGGTAATGAGTATTACAAAGAGTTGTAATGTAGACGGGGAAAGATGGTGAAGTGTGACGCGAAAAGGAAAAGGAGGGCAAAATCGAGAGAGAAAGAAAGAATGTAGCGGGAGAGGTCCTAGTTGGGGGATAAAAAACTTGAACTCCTATTTTAGGGATTAACAGAATGTTTTAGTCTTATTATGAGTGATTTCTATTCATTGAACCGTTCAGTTATAATGTCTATTTCTCCCTCTGTCATTGTATTTGTCCAATATTCCTTTTTTTTGATCGTTTCTCAGTATTTATCTACTTTCCTTTCAAGGCAAACAAAATCATATGAAATGTTGATTCAGCCCTCATCAATTGTTCTCTTACCCACTCATTCAAATCTAATTACTCGTACATATCTCATCTCTCCCTCTTTCTTTGTTCTCACCCTCTCATCTTCTTCGCAATCTTCCCTCACGTTTGCGTAGGAATCACAGCCTGCATAGCCGCACAAGTAGGTAACTTTTTTAAAGATAAAGTAATTTTTCTATTTCAAAAATGTGTGATGGTGATGGAATATATCTAAGATAACAATTGCTCAAGTTAAAAAATGAAACAATTTTATACTCCCTCCGTCCCATGAAACATGAGACTTTTGCTTTTTAGGAGGGATTTAAAGAGAGTGTATTTTGGTATTGAATTTCCAAAAATGTCCTTTGATGTGATGGGTAAAAGTATGCTTTGATGGATAGATTATTAGTAAAAAGGTATGATGTGATAGTTAGGGTATGAAAAAGTAAGGGGTAAAAGTGACTTTTTAATAAAAATGAGAAGTGTTTTGTAGGACGGATAAAGTGACTTTTTAATGTTTATATTAGAAAGGGAAGTATTAGCAAGCAAAAGGTGTCATAAAAAGTAAATTTTATGGTGGACTTATGGTCCATCATGGACTACATAGGATCAAAATAAGTATTTTATTACTACTTCAATAAGCATATATTTTTTTTTAATAAAAAAAATTTAAAGAAAAATTTATGGGAGAAGGTCCACAAAATAGGTAAGCATCCAATTAAGGTGCACCATTATATAGAAGCACTCGTCAATCGTCATAGGAAGTGCATGCCCCATGTCAAACGTTGGGGAGAGGCTAGGGCTGGTCTACCATACAACCGGATGTACCTATAACTAAGTATGTACACCCGACAAGTGTTTGAATCAACATACTGTTTATTCTGAATCAACTTATATTGTTCTGTTTGACATATTTGTTCATTTCAATTATATTATTCATTACGAAAAACATTGTTATCATTTTAAAACAACGTAGTGTTCATTCTGAATCAACGTAGTGTTCATTTCTTAGCTACATTGTATTTATCTTCAACCATATCAAGTCTAGGGTTTTTTGAAGGCTCTGTTAATCCAATCGCTGCAGCACCTCCGGTTTGAGAGCCGCCCGTATATAAGCATGCATTTCTTATCTCTGCAGCACCTCCGATCTGAGAGGTGCCGCCGCTCGAAATTGTGTTTCTTCTCCCCGTGCCGGCAACCCCTGGAATTGCCTCCGGTTGTACGGGAAGAATCTGCGCAGGTTGGGCGGTTGGTTGTGCGCTTGTAATTGGAATCGTGGAAGAGTTGCTTCAGGTCTCTTTTTTTTGTTTGTTTTCTTTTGTTTTTCTAGTTTCAATACATTATCTTTTTGACTTCTTTTACCTTATGTTTGGTTTAAGAAATTTCAAAAGAAAAACAAAAGAAAATAAAATGGAAAATTAATTTTCATGTTTGGTTAGAGAGGAAAAGAAAGAAAAAGTAGAAGGAAAAGAAATTAAGAAGGCAAAATGTATTAAAAGAAGGAAAAACTAAATTTCTTTCATTTTAGTGAGGAAAGTGTGAGAAAATCATTTTCTTTTCTTTTCCTTCCAAAATCCTTGAACCAAACATAGTACTCCATTAAAGTTCATTTTATTTCCAGTTCATATATTTTAAATTAAAAAAATAGAATAAATTTTTACTCCCTCCGTTTCTTAAAACCCTTTCTCTTTCATTTTTTTGGTTTTTCTTAAAACACTTCTCTTTTCTATTAAAAAACTATTTTTACCCCTACTTTTTCATACCCTACCTATCACATCATACTTTTTCACTAACAACTAAACTATCACATCTTACTTTTACCCATCACATCAAGGGCAAAATTGAAAAGTCAACTACAATTTAACACTTCTTTATTTTCCCCCAAAGTCAAAAGAGGAACTCTTTTGAGAAACGGAGGGAGTATGATTTTGTTTTGGGGCATAACATTTATTATTTTAAAAATATATTCTCTCCTTCCTATTAAAAACTCTTTATACATATTTCATTCCCTTTTTTCATAATAAATGGAGTAGCTATCAACAATTTTCTCTCATCTTAAAAAAATTAAATTTTTACCACATACTCCATATGTTTTATCACCAATTTCGTAGTCATGTTCTTTTTAGTTTTAATTACTTTTTTCTAGTTTTTTTAAGATTTCAAATCAACTTAATTATATTCTTTTTTAGTTTGGATTCAGTTTAAATTCATTTTTAATTTTTCTAATCTGAAAAAAGTAAACTATATATATTTAAGTCAAACTAATATGATGGTTTACATTCAAATTTATTGAATCCGAGTTAAAATTTATAAAAATAGTAACATAAAAGTTGGAATATTTTTTTATACATGTAGTCAAAATTATGACATGATAAGTGGAGAACATAAAGTAATGGAAATACTGTTGCAGATGTTTGTTGCAGACAATTCCCCGCACCAACCTCGCGCCAAATTTGCAACAGATATCATCACTTTCCTTTGCAAAAAAGATCGTTGTGAAATATAATCCAATTGCAAACAAAACTACCGTTGCAATTCTGCAATGGAAAAATGTACTCCTTATATTGTAATGCTTTCGTTGCAAATCTAATTTTTTCTTGTAGTGGGTGTCGGACACAAGGTGGCCCTTCACTATCCTCAGTCCTTTAAAAACTTTATTTTATAAAATAATTAAATAAAAATGTAACTAAACTAAATTTATTAAAAATATGTATAACAAAATTTAAAATGTAAATAAATATTTTTTAGAAATAATATAACATTTTAAATAAAGATGCACATGTATGAAAAAGTAATACTCCGTAAAATGAACTAAATGAAGAATAGTTTTAAACATGGTATATAATATATTTGTTTTAAAACATATAAAGTTTATATAAAATTTTTGTTGAAATATTGGAATAATATTGCTAATTGAAATGTAGAGTACATGGTAGATTATATAAATGAGAGACTCCTAAAACAACTAGAAATATAGAATGAAAATCAACTAAAATACAATATCTGCCATAAATAAAAATAAGAAGCTAACTAATAATCAAACACTAACATAACCAATACTACGAGTATCAGAAGTAATATTAGTATTATTCTCTAACAAATTTAAATTATTAAGATAATTTTGTGCATTTAAAAAATAAGTTACAATGAAGAAAAACTTTTAACACTTTATTTTATAAATAGAGTAAATAAAATATTTTATGCGCATGCGTGGAATACACGTGTGGGGCATCCTAATTGGCTGGAACATCTCACCCATTGTCATGCACTATATAATTATTTCAAATTTTAAATAATACTCCGTATAAGTATACTTTACTCAAAATATAATTTAAACAAATTATTACTCCGTAATCTTTTTTTTAAATATATATATATCTATGAGGTTTATTCTTGAAGCTAGCGCCACATGGTGTATCCTAATTGGCTAGAACATCTCAACCATTGTCACAAACTATATGCCGAAGCAATTATTACGTGGAAATTCTCTTAATCTCTCCTATAAAAACGTCTTTATATATGATACCAACGTATATTCATATCATATACGATCAAACCCATACCATGGCCGCCGCCGTAGTTTGGAAGCGATCAAGCTGCGGCTCCCTCTTTGGCGCCGCCCTAGCAACTGCCTTTTTTTGCATGGGATGTCTACTACTAGCCATGCTGGCTATTGCAAAGGAGGAGGAGGCGCCCAAACCAGCAGGCACTGTGATTGGCATCGATCTCGGGACAACTTACTCTTGCGTGGCCGTTCTCAAGAACGGCCACGTCGAAATCATAGCGAACAATCAAGGGAACCGCATCACGCCGTCTTGGGTTTCGTTCACTGACAACGAGCGGCTGATCGGCGAGGCTGCGAAGAACCAGGCCGCTGTCAACGCCGAGAGAACGGTGTTTGATGTGAAGAGACTTATTGGGAGGAAGTTTGACGACGAGGAGGTTCAGAAGGACATGAAGATGGTTCCGTACAAGATCGTGGACCGGGGCGGGAAGCCTTACGTAGAAGTTGGAGTGAGTAATAATGGGAATGTTAGGGTCTTTAGCCCTGAGGAGATCAGTGCCATGATTCTTACAAGGATGAAGGAGACAGCCGAGGCTTTTCTCGGGAAGAAGATGCCGTTGTTACTGTCCCCGCTTACTTCAACGATGCGCAGAGGCAGGCCACGAAGGATGCGGGTGCGATCGCTGGGCTTAACGTTGTGAGAATCATCAACGAGCCAACTGCTGCTGCCATTGCCTATGGACTCGGCGTGTACGACGACAAGAGACGCGGTAGTGGCGGCGTCACTGAGAAGAACATCCTTGTGTTTGATCTCGGCGGTGGCACATTTGATGTCAGTGTCCTGACGATCGACCACGGTGTGTTCGAGGTTCTCGCCACCAACGGTGACACCCATCTTGGAGGCGAGGATTTCGACCAGAGGGTGATGGGTTACTTCATCAAGCTCATCAAGAAGAAGCATGGGAAGGACATAAGCAAGGACTACAGGGCTCTGGGTAGGCTGAGGAGGGAGTGCGAGCGCGCGAAGAGGGCATTGAGTAGCCAACACCAAGTCAGAGTCGAAATCGACTCGCTCTTCGATGGCATTGACTTCTCCGAGCCATTGACTCGCGCTCGCTTCGAGGAGCTGAACAACGACCTCTTCAGGAGGACAATGGGGCCCGTGAAGAAGGCCATGGAAGACGCAGGGTTGAAGAAGAACGAGATCGATGAGATTGTTCTTGTTGGTGGGAGCACTAGAATCCCCAAGGTTCAAGAGCTCCTCAGAGATTTCTTTGATGGCAAGGAGCCGAACAAGGGAGTGAACCCGGACGAAGCGGTCGCGTATGGTGCTGCGGTCCAAGGTGGCATTCTAAGCGGGGAGGACGCGAGACGCGGCGATTATCTTCTCTTGGACGTCACTCCGCTCACCCTCGGCATTGAGACCGCGGGCGGAGTGATGGCCAAACTGATCCCCAGGAACACCGTGGTCCCCACGAGAAAGTCCCAAGTCTTCACCACATACCAAGACCAACAAACGACCGTCTCGGTCAAGGTTTTCGAAGGCGAGCGTGGTCTTACCAAGGACAACACACTTCTCGGCAACTTCGAGCTGAGCGGGATTCCCCCCGCCCCAAGGGGAATCCCGCAAATCGAAGTCACGTTCGAGGTCGACGCGAACGACATTCTGAACGTGAAAGCCCAAGACAAAAGCACCGGGAGATCGAAGAAGGTCGCGATCAACAATGGGAGGCTGAGTGAAGAGGAGATCGAGCGCAAGGTTCGCGAGGCGGAGGAGTTTGCGGAGGAAGACAAGAAGTGGAAGGACAAGATCGGTGCACGAAACAGGCTCGAGAGCTATGTGTACAACATGAAGAACAAGATGAAGGAGTTTGGGGATAAGGTGGAGTCGGAGGAGAAGGAGAAGATGGAGATTGCTTTGAATGAGGCCATGGAGTGGCTGCAGGACGACGGCCGGAGTGGCGGTGCTGCTGCTGAGAAAGAGGACTTTGTTGAGAAGCTTGAAGAGGTTGAGGCGGTTTGCAATCCCATTGTTTCCTCCGTCTACCAAAGATCTGCCAGCGGTGGCGGCGGCTCTCACGATGATGAGCTATAGATCAGAAATAAATTGACAATTAATTAGATCGATGAGTTTTAGTTAGTTTAGTTTTTCATTAGTGAAATTTGCACTAAATAGGACTAAAACATAATGACTTTCCTAATGTATGATTTAAACTTTTTTATTCCTTAAATAGGACTTAATAATGACCTAGTGGGAGGAATAATGTCCAGAAATGATGGACATTTACTTGAATAATGACTACTTGATAATGACTAAAGGTCCTATATGAGGAAATAAAAACATATGGTCCTATATTGAGAAAGTCATTATGTTTTAGTCCTATTTAGAAAAATTTCTCGTTTCTTGTCTCTGCCGTAGAAAAAAACTAGATTTTTATTTGTATTAAATAGCACTAAAACATAATAACTTTTCCTAAATAGCACTACATGTGTTTTTTTCCAATGTAGCACTTTTAGTCATTATCCATTGGTCATTATTCAAGTAAATTTTTGTAATCACTGGTCATTAAAGACATTATTAAAGATTATTTAGAGAATAAAACAATTTAAGTGCTATTTGGAGAAATGATTTAAATTTTAGTGCTATCAAATTTTTTCTACGGCGGAGACAAGAAATAGTTATTTCTTATTTTGAGACTCTGTCATCTTTTACACTTGCATCTTAATTAAATATAAATAATACGGAGGACTACCTGAGAATAGGGGTGAGCATCGGGTCGGTTCGGTCGGTTTCGGCTCAAAACCGAACTAACCGAAATTTTTTCAGATGCAAAAAAACCGACCGAAACCGAACCGGTGTATTTGGATAACCGAGAAAACCGAAACCGAATAAACCGAATGGTTTCGGTCGGTTGTTAAAAACCGAATTCCATAGCAACCATACAAAAAATAAAAAAATAGTTAAACATGTACCATGGCCGGAACCATCACGAGAAGCACTGGGACTTCCAATATCAGCAGAATCCAATTATTGTTCTAAAACAATGAAATAAATTGTTTTCTCAACCACTAAATGAGTAATTCCCCTCCA